AATAAGGTAACTTCTATTAAACAAGGATCACATGATACCTGTACTTTTATGAAGTTGATCCTACACTTGAATCTTTGCAGGAGATTCTTATCTGGATTTAATGATTGTCTCGTTGGATTCACTCTCAATAATCCTTTTCATGGATAAACCCCAAGTTCTCTTAATAATTTCACGATCCTTCACTCTTCAACTAACAAAACTAACTCACCAGCTAAGTTGCCAACTCCTCAAATTCGCGATTACAGAATTTATATAATATACTTCAATTGCATAATCACGCTTCCTTACTCGGCGAAAGTTGGTTGAAATAAATATTTTCCCCAGAAGAATCCCCAAGGAATTGAGTAGAGCTGCTTACACATCCGTCACACCGTGATCATGAACACAAGAGTACCGCATCCTAGCATAATGTTGAGTTGATGGCCATTAAAATTTTCATCATTGTCTGGTTTTATTTTTTGTAGAATATTTTTCCATAAACTCGATTAAAGATGGAAACTCTCTTAATTCTGAGTACCATTTTAACAAATTTTAACTGAAAGAAATGTTCCTAACTTTAGTAAAACATTCTTAATTTTTCGCAATTTTTAAATTTATAAAAACTACAAAATTTAAACGAAGATTGCAACATACTTTTTAATATTTTGAAACATCAAAGACTAAAAATGCAAAAACAACACATCCGGATATTTGCTTATTATACTCAGTACAATTATCTTTACTGATAATAAAATATATGTTTTTATTAAATATTTCTCGTTTATTAGATTTTATCACCGTCGGATTTTCAAAATGGTGAAATATAATAGAAGCCTTAAGTTTTAAACATTTTCCCCTGAAGAAGAAATTAAATGAATTTCCTCATATCAAAAGACACCGGTATACAGAAGAAGAACAATTACGAAGTGTGTTTAACAACTTTCAAAGAACTTGCATTAAGGACTTTCCCTAAATTACCTTTCTAATCCGATTAACTACGATAGAGGTGCCATAATAGAAGAACATGTACCTGAAAGAAGTCTGAAGAATTAATTAGAATTTATTTCTTTATTTTGGTAATTAAACAGCAGCTTAAATACCTCTCTTACACCTAATTGCCGTCTGCATTCTGATATACAGAAGTGCGGAAAATTGCGATCAGCATTAGATCTCAGAAAAACTATGGCTAAAATGTTCTGAATATGCTAAAACGAGAGTTCTTTTTAAAAGCATTCTTTACGTATTTAATGAAGGGAATCTAATAATGCTGGAACTTTGAAATATCTTAACTAAATTATGAATCGTATTAAAAGAGGCGTTGAGAAGTATTAAAGAAGGTCGATGCACAGGTCTAGAGCAGTTTATTTTTTAAAAAGATTGAATATATTAGTAAGAAATATATACCACGTTTGTAAAATTAATTGAATGAGATTAATTTTGTTTTTAGAATATGTTTTACGAGTGGATATCATGCTCCTATAAAAAGATTAATTTTCTTTCTTCTTATTAAATATTTTAAAAATTATTTTTCGTTTTTGCCTAAAATTGCGGGCCTAGTCAAAATATGTAAAATATTTTATGATTTAATTTTGTACGCCAATTTATTAGGCTTAAAAAGTACAAAGTTTTTTTCAGTTTACTAATTTAAAACATATTACTATGAATGCTATTTTCAGCCTGTAGTTACGGAATTAAAAAAGGCTTCTTAGTAAAATACGATTTTTCCCCACGAAATTTAAAGCAGAGGCAGGAATTACTGAAAAAGTTATGATTAAAATTATCTGAAAATTTGTGTGTATACTTTGTAAAATATCAGAATTGTTTTGATCTATATTTTTTAAAAAAAATTACGAAATTATTAAAAAATTTACAACTACTTACATAAATATAATGAATATAAATAATACCACTTAATAAATATAATAAATTTAGAGATTTCATTGAGTGACTGAGGTAAAATATTCCATTCTATGTAAGCATTTCGAAATGACATAAAGGATAATAACAGAAGAACAACCACATAATATTATAGAATAACAATGTAACATATACATGTTGAAAATTGAAAATTTGCTTATATATATTTTGTTTAAAGTAGATTGAGTTTAAACAACTTTTTATAAATTTTGACCAGTTTTTTTCACAATTTCCTTAAAAGTATCTCTTTTTCTTAGAATAGTTTATTAAATAAATTTGAAAGCCTAAAAAAATCCTCCTAGCTTGACTTTTTCAAAAAAAAAAAAAAAAAAAAAATGGCATGCATTGTTGGATATTTTAACGATACATATATTTGAATTCTGAATAGGTTAAAGCGGGATTAGTCAAAATATTTGGAAGAAGAAAAATAGAAAATATAACTCATTTAGATAAAAAAAACATTCGAAATAAAGCTAAAGAAAACAACTTTTCAGTTTCTAGACCCCATTTAAGCGACAAGTAAACAAAAAAAAATTGTTAATGATAAAATAACTATTTTTTTAACATGAGACATTACAATTTACATTTCAAAAGCTCTCGATATTTACCATTCGACTACCACGCCCTCAAGTATCTTGTATCAGCAGTTTTTAATGACATCAAAGAGATGCTATTAAAGTTGTATGTATGATTCATAGTTATTTTCAATAATTGATGGGAAATTCATCTTTCTTTCGAATGAAATTTTTTCTTTTACAGTTGTTTTTTAATAAACAAACCTTTTTGTCCATATATATATTTCCCGATTTTCTTTCCTCTACATACGTACCATTATTACACGTTTAGAAACCAACTACATGAATACGTATTACCTAATAAAAATAACGACAACTAATTATGTCCATTTCCATTTGTAAATAACTAAAATGATAAATGATATCTTGGAATTTCCTATGACATGAAAGAACAGTTGTTCTGCACATTTTCAGACTTCGTTCAAATTTTAAAAATAACAGAAACTTTTTTCCATCGGTGCAACTTTTTGAATTAATACCAAGGTAGAAAAAGACTGTTTGTAACATCGAGGGAAAAATGCAGGCCTTTTAAGTAATCTAAAACCAAACAAAAAAAGTTTGGTGTTATTATTATTCTAATGAACTAAGTAGATTATCAAAAATTGCGACGTAAACAAATTATGTTATTTTCCAAGGAAAGCCTACTTCGAGTGTTTGGATACTTTTTGTTTCTATCCTCAGGAATTCCCCAACAGCCTTCGCCAATCCTTCCCACTATTTCTTACAAACATTTTTGATCTTCATTTACATTCTTTTTGGTATAAGAAAAAGTTCTGTCGTTTTTGAACCGCGTAGCTTATGCGTCGTCGATCCTTAGCAAGAATTTGGATCCGACTGAAACCAGTTTAAGCAGATTATTACATGATTGATGATTTATACACATTTGTTTGCGTTTTAGTCAGTTGTAAAACTATCGACAAAAGTGAAGAAAGAGACCACTTAAGAGACTTTATATTGAATGAGTTCCAAAAAGGGGAATAACACGATGCAGGAAAACATAAACATGCGAGACATGTTTGGAGAGGACGCAGTAAAAGCTCGAGCATGCCAAAGATGGTTTATGAAATTTCGTTCAGGTGATTTTGCTTTGAAAGATGAACTCAGTTCAAGAAGGCCATTAGATGGCGAAACGCGACGCAATATGATCAAAAAAATCCCACGTTAACTTCCATAGAAGAGGGCTTCAAGCTCTGAATTCACCGGACTACTGCTTTGGATCACATAAAAAGAGTTGGTTTTATGTCCAAACTCTCTGCTTGGGTGCCACATGAATTAAGTGAAAAAAATTTAATGGATAAAATTTCGATATGTTTTTTAAATCTTGTTCATCCCAAAAAGGGAACCGTTTTTGGATCACTTGGTGCCTCGAGATGAAAAGTGGATAGTGTATAAACATGTAGTTGAATGAAGTTTGTATACGTACAAAGGGGAGACATCGCCATCCTCATACAAAGCAGGCGTGCATTAAAGGAAGGTTAAGTTGTGTTGTTGGAGGGACCACAAGGGTATAGTATACTATGAGTTGCTAAAAGAAAATGAAGCGTTTGATTCCCTGTAAATGTTCATCTTTGATCAACAGAAAGGGTGTAATTCTTTATTAAGACAATGTTCGGCCGCAGGTGGCAAAGAAAACCATACCAAAGATAGGAGAGTTGGGTTGGGAAATTTTATCACAACAAGCATATTCTTATGATGTTGCAGTATCTGAATATCATCTGTTCAGGTCGTTGCAATGCTTTCTTGATGGAAATAAAAAACATAAATTATAAGGGTGCCCAAATGGCAGTGGAAGAATACTTTGCCTCCAAAACAGATGAATTCTTTACCAGGGTGTTAAATAAGCTGCCAGAACACTGACAGACAGTTGTACCGAGCGAAGGACGTTATATTTTGAATTAAATTTCAAATAAAAAGTGGGGAAATAATTTATTCTTGGGTAAAAGGAGACAGAACTTCCCTTCATACGCAATACATTCTCACTCTCTTTGATATATTTGAACTGAAACTGAACACCCATGTTACAATTCAATTCACTTTACAATTAAATGGATAATAATAATTTTAGGTATTGTGGACATGGAATAAAATACAGCATCTATAATAATATTATCTACATCTTTCGGCATAAAAATGTTATTCCCTAAAACAAAATCAGAATGACATACTTTTTTAATCAATTTCATTATTTCTTCTTGCGCCGCTTCTTTAAAAAAACATCACGTATAATTCGATTACTATCAATTTATAGTAAACAAGTAGTATAAAAATTTTTTTAGTCAATTCCTACTTAGGTCAACAAAGAAAATTTTTATTTTAGTTACTTTTTATTAAATAGGTACAATTAATATAAATAATCATGTATATATGACAGAATCAAAATATTAAGTGACAAAATATAAAGCAATTTTCCATGCAATTTTACATTTTTCTTTCTTTATAGGATGTGGGACTATTTTTCGTGTGTTGCTTTATTCATTAATTAAAATTAATTATTCTAATAAAATAAAATCACATTCTCAGAAATTAGGCCATCCCACGTGAGATTCGAACCCACGACCTTTGGATTAGAAGTCCAACTAGCTATCCATTGCACTACAAGATACAACAAACTATTTTCCTTTCTAAATGTGCTGTTGGATAATTATTTTTGTTTGTTATTATTTATTTAGTTTTGAACTTAATTAATGAATTTATATTTTAAAATCAGTAGTAGTATCAAGTGTCATCCACTACAAGTTTAAAAAATGTATTTGAACTTGAATGTATGGAAAGAAAATATTTTATTAACGATTAAAAATTTGTAAAGATATGTATATATATATATATATATATAAATATATATATATACATAGCGATAGAGTAAACTAATAGTAGGGATTGAAAGTTATTAAATAAAAATTCGTAGCAACATGATATAAAATTACTTGCCAGGAAATCGCTCCCAGAATTCCAATTAAAACAAAAAATCAAGCAAAGCATAAATGTTGAAAATATTCAAAAACATATTACTGGCAAGTGTTGTGAGGTTTCTACATTTCCCTTTTAATTCTTTTTACACTAAGTATTTTTGTATAACCCAGATGTTATTTTCGAAAAATTTATATTTACAGTAGTAAACTTGATAAAAAAAGCGACAAAATTTTTTATTTTAATTTTCTTAAGAAAGGGAAAATAAGAAATTTCCTCGATGTAATTACAGCGTGCGTGTAGGTAAAATAAATATATATAAAACATTTCTCTTTAAGGCTTAAATAAACTTTAAACTCACAATTTTTTCCGAGAAAAAGTAAGGTAAGATGTAAATATTTATTCTGAAATGTTTTTAAAGGGGGAGAATATCAGGGATTTGTGCCATATAATTCTAGAAATAAATCCTTATTTTTTCAGTAAAATACTTTGTTTTACTAAAATGTTTTAAAGGGAATCGAATCTTTTATTATCTTTTACACATTAATTATTCTACATGTATAACTCATAAAACATATAACTCATTTTTTATTAAAAATGTTAGAATAATTATGCGATATTTTTGCATTAATTTGAAGCGTTTGTAAGATAAGCAAACCTTGGCGAAATGTGTTTAGATAGTAATCAAGACTTAACCTCATTCCGTTATTTATTGACCTACTTGACGTTTGATTGGAACCTAGATACCATTAACATGCTTTGAGTCAATCACTCGTGATTGAGGCAGAACGTGGATTCTCACGCCATCCGCCAATCAATTTCTACCTTCCAACTACGTACATATAATTAGAAGGATATTCTGCACTTGAATACCAGTGCTAACTAGTTATTGCTGTTAAACAGATATTTTGCGCGTCCTATGGATTACATATGTGATTCACAGGTACATCTTATGTTACTATTTTGCGATAATTCTTCATTATTGATACAAGATACTTCTTGGCTTTTTTTCGCACAAAAAAGGAAAAGGAGATTTAATGAAATTTATCAGAGTTGATCCTTTGATTTGATTTTAATTTACTTCACAATGGGAAACAATAAGAGGGCTAATGGCGATGAAAATCGCAATTCTGAGTTACAGTTGTTGTTGTTGCTAATGCCTTCTGTCCGACGTAATAAGATCAAGGCCCACGAAATTCATCATGGCAAAGGGTCAGATTGTACGCCTGTCATTAGCCGTAGCTTTGAGCAACATACAGGTGACACAGTACATTTTGGCTCGTTTCCATCCATATTTTGAGGGAGAACACCAAAGGGGTCTTCCGGACCCTCCCATTTTGCTTTCCGTTCCACCAACCTCCTGACAGGACTTGCGGCTTAATGGCTATTTAGAGTATTCCCGTGCCGTGAAGGCACTATACATAAACAAACATCCATGCTTTCTCCAGAATTCGAATCCAGTCCCTGCGGCACAGCAGTGAGCGTCGCTAACCACTGTAGTCATAGGTTAGTTTCCAGAATTATACGTGAGCTTGCACTCCCCCCACTATTAACTTCCACAAAACACCAACGGGTGGATTTCGAGCCTGAAGAATTTAACACGTATCAGCCCTGTTACCCAATGGGTTCTGGAGGGCACTAGGTTTCGAACCGGTGATTCGGGAACCAGGGACGTCTTAAGATTTCTTGAGGCCCTGGGCTCCTACGCAAAAGTAGGCCCTAGGCCCCTGCACAAATCTAGGTCCCACCTAAGGCCTATGAAAGTAAATTGTGCAAAGCATACGTTGTCAAACACTCGTACAAACCAGAAACAAATAAATGTGTATGACTTACAATCGTACAAATAGGCTCGACCGACTCTCCTCCTTTTGACTGAATGAGAAATGATGGTATATGGTGGTAGAGGCCTAGACCTATATAGGGACGATGGTCATCACATGTAGCCAGTTGAAATATCGTACATAATCCCTAGTGTTTCGGAGAATACAACCGGAAATAATATTTGATTGTTGAAATTATTCAAATCAGGATCTTTTTAAGGCTGAATCGAGGAGCCTCCCACTGTGGCTGAGGCCGTGGGCTCGGGCACAGTTGATCCATGCTTTAAGCCGTCCTTGTCGGAACTTCGGCAACAAAGTCATGAACATGACGCTTTGGATTCCGTGACCACATGAAATTTTGATGGAAAATGCAAAAATAGGGGGAAAATGAATTTGATAATACAGTAATGCGTATCCTTATTCTCTAAAAATGATAACTGCGTTTTAAGGATTAAAAAATTAAGGCAAAAATATTGCGAATTTTATGTTAAAAATATCAAAAAGATGACAGCTCTTTAAATTTAATACATGTCGTAGAAACAGGATTTGATTTTATTCTGAAATCTTACAGTAGGAAGAAATTTAAGAAATCAAACTGTTATCAGTTAATGCAGTGCTCCCAAACCTTTTTATTGTTACGGACTGGCCATTGATAATTTTAACGCAGTTCGCAAAGGGAATTGTTTGTATTTTAAATTGTTTTCATTTAATAATTTTAATTTAATTGTATTTAACTATGCCTTCGGAATTCGATACAATTACACAAAAATGAATGCAAAGTGATTTAACATGGAATATAAAGGGATTCCTATGGAAAGTCACACAAAACCGAGAGAAATACAACCCAGTAAATAAAATGGAAATAGTTTAATGTTCCTTGAGAGGCTCGGTACCATTCAGTCTATGAAACAGGGAGACTACTGAGCACAGTATCCAACTTACCGTGGTTGGAACCGTGATGTTGAAAAAAAACGTATAAATGAACAACTTTTTTAAGACATTTAGTAACACATGATATAGAATATACATGTAAAATTGTTAAAATAATGATATTCAAATAATAAAATTTAATTATTTTTTTATTGAGAACATTTATAAGCCCCGTGCACCACACAATGTATTATATGGGGGCTTGCAATGCGAAGTAAAGATTACAACACAAACATCCATTCCTTCTCCGGTATTCGAACCCAGGTCCTACGGCACCCCAGTCAGCGTCACTAACCGCTATACCGGATGAGCGCCATATATAAAATTATTTAAAAGCAATTTTTTGGCAAAAAAGAAGGAACGAAGTGTTTTTAAAACATTCTCCATTTACGAAAAACGCTTGTATAATAATAATAATTTGCGTATATATAGCTAGAACTTCTATACAGGGGCTGAACTAGGATTTTTAAGTATATAATTTAGAAGTGTATTTATTCATATTTTAATTTATCAGAGAGGAGAAATTTTAACAAACAACACCGATTATTATTTTATTTGGTATCAATTTTGAAAAGAATATGTTTTTTTAATCAAAAGTCCCAGATCATGCTCTGAAGAGAAACTCTAGTTATATATAAGGAAAATATTATTATTATAGAAGCTTTTTTTTTATATAAAAGGAGAATGCTCTGAAAATACAAGCATGTCTTTCTTCATTTTTTGCTAAGAAATGCATTTAAACAGTTTCATTATTGTAATAATATCCTTAAAATAATTATATGTATATATATATATATTTATATATATGTTCTAGTTCAGGTGACACTATGTATTATATATAAAAATATTCATTCATATACTCCTTCAAAATCATCGTTCCAAACATAATCGGAATCTTAAAGAAGTACCGTGAAAATACGTAGAAATAACATTCGTGGAATTACACATTGGAACAAAAATCCCCTAAGGATTTAATTTTTGATTCCTATTTTTTAATATACTATTTTTGCTGATATTAAAATAATGGAAATAATATTGCAATCATTAAATTTACTTGCAATTATTCTAAAATGGATTATTTTAGAGTGCAAATTGAACTGTAAGAATAGAGAGACAGTTAAAATACTGAATTTTGGTGCAAATATCTCAATAGAATCTCTCATTAGAGGAAGCTTAATTTAAATGTTAATGCTTTCATTGTCTTCATTTATATACATCAGGTCTTATTTATTTTAACATGGTTTGTCAAGGTAAAACTTAACTTACTTTAAAACGACAATGTTGATACATTGTTACGTCTTTCTAGTTAAACATGGTTAAAGGGAACTTAATGTACTATGTTTAAACGCAGAATAGTGTTAGAGGTTTGTTAACTAGGAAAAAGAAACAAAAATAGATTTAATCCACAGTATATTTAAATTAGAGTAATTAAAATAGTTAGGATGGTGAAAGGTTTCCTTTTGCAGAACCTAAATATGGTCTGGGAGAGTCATTAAAAATCCTTTTTTTCTTTCGTCAGATTTTTTTCTATTATTTTCTACGAAATAAATTTTTACAAAGCAGTTGTAACATTTCTAAATTGAAGTGATGTGTGAATTTTTAAGATAGTTAGGATTTATTTTATGATATTTGTATGAAAACTATGTAGCGCTTCCTATATAAGCCAGTAACAACCTCCGGGCAGAGGTGATCACTTTTGTCTAGTGATATGTTACGTACTTACGAGTCAGAAGGTACCGAGTTCTATCCACCGGGTTCTAATCTCCGACATTGGTGACCTTGGCTGAAAAGATAAACGCAAACCTTCTGATATGTCGTGGTGCCATCAACCCTCAAAAAGAACAATTAAAAGTCGTCAGACTCAATTGACGCAGCAACCAAAATCGCGCGTCAGACCTACTTGACACATCAACCAAAGTCGTCAAACCCATTTGACGCAACAGC